CCTCACCCCCGCCCCCCACGGTGCTCGTAGGGAGAAGTTTAGGCCTCGGGTCTGCCATTTTGCCCCCCCCCCAAAGGGGCTCGTGGGGATGGCAGTCTTGTGAGCTGCAGGTGGTAGCAAGCTCAGGCCTTTCCTCCTGTGTTTTGTTTTGTCAGTTAATTTAGGTTAGGTCAGGTAAGGTTCGTCAGGAAACAGGACAAATGTTTCCTGACGCGGGTCTTAGTCAGATGATGACCCGCCTTTGGAGCTTTTGGTCATCTGACCGAGGCCTTCCGCTGGCTTACCGGTCCACCCCTTTATTATTATTAAAGATTAGCCGGTATTCTCCCGGCCCGGGCCTTTTCCAAGTGGTGGCCCGGCCTTGGCTCCCTCTTTAGGGAGTGTCTGAGACCTAAGTCTCCCATGGGAGGAGGCACAAGTACCTCCTCATCTTTGGGACCAACTGTCCCCAGGCCTAGCCACAAGCTAGGCCTCTCTGGTCTGCCATCCCCGCCCCAAGGGGGCTAATGGGAATGACAGTCTTATGAGCTAAAGGCTCGGGCTCAGGCACCTACCCTACCCTAGAAGGGTTAGGCATGGTGTCGATCCCTCACCTTTAAAAAATTATGGTCATTTATAACCAGTGTTACCTTTATTGTCAGTTAATTTGATTGAGATCCATACTTTTTTTCTTATTTTTATGTAAACTGTATTGGTTTTAAATAAAATATAAAAAATAATAATAATAATAATAGTAATAATAATAATAATAATAATAATATATAATAAAATAATAATATCCTTTATTTTTACAAACACATGTAGTACATCTTCCATAACTGAAAAGAATACCCTTTAAAAATTATTTATTTTCGTTTTCTTTAATTCATTCGATATTGATTCGTTTTTCTTTTAGTTTTGTTTTAGTAGTAACTATGCTAAATGTGAGATAAGATAAGATTTTGTTGGGAATTTTAACCCTGGAGGGTTAGCCACCCATGATAACCCAAGAAAGTCAGTGGGTTATCGAGGGACTGTCTGTCCTTATTTCCATTGTGGTCCTTCAGTCTTGTCCCCAGGAATGCCACCCACACCAGTCGGCTAACACCCCGGTACCTACTTACTGCTAGGTGAACAGTGACAGCAGGTGTACGGTGACTAACACCCAGGTACCTACTTACTGCTAGGCGAATGGATCGACACCATGCCTAACCCTTCTAGGGTAGGGTAGGTGCCTGAGTCCGAGCCTTTAGCTCACAAGACTGTCATTCCCATTAGCCCCCTTGGGGCGGGGATGGCAGACCAGAGAGGCCTAGCTTGTGGCTAGGCCTGGGGACAGTTGGTCCCAAAGATGAGGAGGTACTTGTGCCTCCTCCCATGGGAGACTTAGGTCTCAGATACTCCCTAAAGAGGGAGCCAAGGCCGGGCCACCACTTGGACAAGGCCCGGGCCGGGAGAATACCGGCTAATCTTTAACTAACTAACTAGGCGAACAGCAACAGCAGTGTAAGGAAACACGCCCAATAATTCCACTCGTGCTGGGGATCGAACCACGGACACTCTATACGAGGCGAGAGCGTTACCTACCAGGCCACAGCATTACCGCAACAATTTAATACAGCAAAATTTTAAATAATGAATTATGTACCAGTACTCAGGGAGCAGAACGAAATTAACCCCGTAGTATCTCCGCCATGAATGTGCTGGCGTCAGGAGTGGCAGAGCCAGTGTACTCAGCGGGTGCCTGGTGTATGTAGCATGGTGGTTAAGTGGGTTAAGGTGTCAGGAGGTTAGCTTGGTTCCCGGGACCCATGTTAAAATGCCCCGGGTTCGATTCCCGGCTGGTCGCAGTATGTTAGTTGCTTAAAACGACTTTATTGTAATATATGTATGTTTGATTTATAAATATTATGAATTGTGGAGATCGAATTAGAGGCAAAAATTATGATAAATTTATTAATAAAAATCAAATATTTACAATGGCAGGAAGTGGATTACCGTCAATGAAAATACAAGACATATTAAATTACTTCATTAAATGAGATTCTACAAATAAACATCTGCAATATAGGCAAAAAGCACATTTATAACCCAATCACACGTTTTCAAAATAAATACGAGACTCCCTTTCCATCTAGCTAAAACATAAGATATTAAACCTATGTAACCATAATGTCAATAAATGACAAGAGAGGAATGCCCTTTGACTTTTTATATACGGTTCGGACCCTACACACAGAGGATTGCAAATCCCTGCAAGCTAGAAAATCCCATTAGCAAATACTGTAAAAGAAAATGTTGTCCTTTATTTAGTAAAGACAAACTTGGTACAAAGTAACGGACACAGACAAGAGGTAATATTCAGTGATTTTAATAGGGATAGTAATATACTAAATTCTATCTAAAGAGAGGCTATATTACCCACAGTTGGACTTTATTACCCACAGTGAGGACTGGAGGTGTTTTCTAGAGGCTGGTGTTGCCTTGGAGGTGTCTTCAAGACGCTGGTGTTTTCTTGGAGGTGTCTTGAAGAGGTTGGTGTTTTCTTGGAGGTGTCTTGAAGATGATGGTGTTTTCTTGGAGGTGTCTTGAAGAGGCTGGTGTTTTCCTTGAGGTGTCTTGAAGAGGATTGTGTCTCATTGAAGGTGTCTTGAAGAGGCTGGTGTTTTCTTGGAGGTGTCTTGAAGGAGGCTGGTTGTTTTCTTGGAGGTGTCTTGAAGAGGCTGGTGTTTTCTTGGAGGTGTCTTGAAGAGGATTGTGTCTTATTGAAGGTGTCTTGAAGAGGCTGGTGTTTTCTTGGAGGTGTCTTGAAGAGGCTGGTGTTTTCTTGGGGGTGTCTTGAAGAGGCTGGTGTTTTCTTGGAGGTGTCTTGAAGAGGCTGGTGTTTTCTTGGAGGTGTCTTGAAGAGGCTGGTGTTTTCTTGGAGGTGTCTTGAAGAGGCTGGTGTTTTCTTGGAGGTGTCTTGAAGAGGCTGGTGTTTTCTTGGAGGTGTCTTGAAGAGGCTGGTGTTTTCTTGGAGGTTTTCTTGAAGAGGCTGGTGTTTTCTTGGAGGTGTCTTGAAGAGGCTGGTGTTTTCTTGGAGGGTCTTGAAGAGGCTGGTGTTTTCTTGGAGGTGTCTTGAAGAGGCTGGTGTTTTCTTGGAGGTGTGGAAATATAAAACACATATGCAGTATAATGTGATCCTTCATTGACAACGTTTCGCCCACACAGTGGGCTTTTCAAGTCACACACAGATCTGTGTGTGACTTGAAAAAGCCCACTGTGTGGGTGAAACGTTGTCAATAAAGGATCACATTATACTGCATATGTGTTTATATTTCCACTGTGTCGGTATTTGATACCATTTATTTCCTTCTTGGAGATGTCTTGAAGAGGCTAACATTTTTCTGGAGGTCACTTAAGGACACAGGTGTTAACCTCACGCTCACAGGTGACAGGTGTGCCCTCCAAAATGAGGCTGGTGACCTCATCCATCAGTTGACCTGATCTTTCAGTGCCCAGCAGGTGTGCCACGCCAGCTCTGTAAACACCAACATTAATGTTAATAACATATGAACGTGGATGTATTAAAATGGATGCATACCTAACATTTTCAACTTTTAATTTTGAAATGAGTTTCTAGTGTGTGGAACTAACCGAAAGAATTAAAATTATTATTACAGAATTATTATTATTATTATTATTATTATTATTATTATTATTATTATTACAGAAGTATAGGTAAATACTGACGTCAGGAAGGTAATCTTGGCCTTGATAGACGATGATCAGTGCCTTAATCTTGAAGAAAAACGATAAGTTCCTTAACTTTGATAGATGATGAGTCCATTAGCCTTGATAGAAGGTGATCAGTTCCGTAGCTTCAAGCTAAGGGATTAAACACCTTTACTCAAGACTAAGAGACTGAACACGTTCTATCAAGGCTAAGGGACTGATTACCTTTTATAAACGCTAAGGGACTGATTACCTTTTATAAACGCTAAGGGACTGATTATTTTTTATGAAAGCTAAGGGACTGAACACCTTCGTTCAAGGCTAAACGACAAAAAATAATTATTATGTTGATTGGAACAAATAGGCAATTATGTAGGAGGAAGTCAGAAAACCCAGAATGAAAGATCTTACACGGCGATGCCCTGGAGTAGGTCGTGCCCAGTGTTGGTGTGTTCTATGGTGTAGCTGAACAGAGAACACTTCACGCAACCGGAGTCGTTCTGGTGTTCTCTCCAGAGGGAGTTCAGCCCGTAGGCCAGGTCATCCGAGTCGTCCAGGGACGAGTGAGACGACCTCCTCGCTCTGTACTTGTCATCGGCGCCCTCCAGCATGGAGTAGATAGAGTGGACGACGCCTGGCATGTCCGACAGGTCCATGAAGGTCAGAGCGTCGTTGCTGCGTTCACCGCCCTTCGTCGTCACGAGGACGCGATAGGCCAGGAAGGCTAAGAGAACGGCAGCTCCCAGGCCTCCGAGGATGAGGTAAGGGTCAAGGTGTATCTTGGAGGTGTAGCCCATTATTGGATAGGTTCCTGCTGTAGAGCCATAGGAGGGAACTCCGTAGGAGGAGAAGGATTCGTCATAGGAACCAATGCTGCCATACGTCGCCCCGTCCCGACTGAAGCCGTCGTTCTGGTCGCTGAAGCCACCCATTCTGTTTCTCATGGAACGACCGACCGCGTCTCTAGGGGAGAATGGTCCGTTAAGTATCAGATCGAGTCCTCTGGCTGCCAGGGGGCTGGTCTTAGCCAAGCTCTCCTTGAATGTCTCAAGTTCCTCTCTCGTAACAACGTTCCCTGCGACCCTTAGCACGTGTCTGACAAACTGGCGAATTGCCTTCCAAGCCGCGTCTCTAATGATGCCGCCAATGGCATCAGCGACGCTACCCCCCAGCATTCTTCCAGCGGTCAGAGCCTCGAAGTGGTCGAAGAGCGGCTGAAGTTGGTCGGCGATGTACCCGGCTAGCCCTGGGTCAACCCTCTTCCCCACCACGTGAAGGAAGTTTACCCGATCTCCGAGATCGAGTATCTTCTTGATCAAATCCAGCGGCAGCTTCTCCGTCAGGTGTTGGACTTCGTACTCGTGGGTCAGCCAATTCGAGTAGCCTAGAGCCATCGACTTGAACTGCGCCCAGGCGCCTCCTCTGATCCCGTCGAGGTACTCCAACAAGGGAGCTGTACCTTCAACGTCATTTTCCGTCCCTTTGGACCCTCCTTCCAAAGGCACCAGTGGTAGAAAAGTCATGTTATTGAGCTCTTTTATAATACCATTAAGTGGTGCGAGCTTCTTCATGTCGATTCTCCCCTTAATCTTCTTGGTGAATGAGCTTGGCTCCTCGATGTCGCCTATGCCCAGTTCGAAGAGACTACCCAGTACGCTATTGTGGGTGGTGGAGAGCTGGTAGTGGATTTCGTTAGCTTGTGTAGACGTGGGTATGGGATAGCGGGAGTTGGGTGATCCGGATTTGACACCTGAAGCTGTCTCGTCACCAAGAACGAAACTTAGAAGAGAAATTATAGCGTTTGTTTTACTGGGGGCACTGGTAGAGGGATACCGGGAGGTTGATGTGGCCTGACTAATGTCTGTAAACGATTCTCCTCCTAGTACCGATCTTCCTGGGATACTGGTAACACCAGTGCTCTTAGTAGTGCTGCTGGAGAAGTACCGGGTATTGGGCGTACTGGAACCAGCATCTGAAGATACTTTCTCCTCCAGTACCAAGCTTTTTGGAGTACTAGTACTATCTGAGTTCTTGGAAGTACTGGTAGAGAAGTACTGGTAGTAAATGTACCGGAATGGTATATGAAGCGATGTCTCTCCCAGTGAAAAGCTTTCCAGGATACCATACCATCCTCACCACTGAGAGTACTAGTCAAGATGTCTCCGAAGGAGTCTGAACTGGGGCTCCCAGTACCGGGTTACCCTGGGACTACTGGTATTCCCAGAGGCTCCTTTCCCCAGCACCATCATCACCAGGGACTGGCGCCATTCCTAGCATCGGGACTGCTTGACAGCGGTTTTCTCAGTTCTGCTAGAGACCCCGGCTGGGAGGAGGGGAACGCCTAGCGGACTGTACGCTGAACAGGGACCTCCCAGCGCCGCTAACACCACTAACACCACCTTCCACGCTGAAACCTGTCAACCAGGAAAATAAAACTGGTGAAGAGGTAGATTATAACATTATACTTACTTTGCAGTAGACTAAAGAGAAGAAATATGGAGACGAGGGGAATAAAATCAGATTTTCCGAAGAGGATCAGTGCCACTCCTCCTCTGAGTGGCCATAACACCATACACACAGTATATTACAACCCAAATAGTTGACTAGTCACTAGCAATATCAACTCCATTGCTGACTGTTTCATTGCACAGAAGTCTGTACCTTAACTGAGAGTCTGTGTTTCTTATGCTATCTTTGCACAGTATAAGAGAAATAACACTTTGAATTTACAAATCATCATTATTTGATTGCAGGATTTTTTTAAAGGCTGCCGATCATGGTTACAATGTGCTTACACTCCATATACACACAATACGATCACAGTAAACAGGTGATATCACAATATGCAAAACAACCACTATGAAAAAAAATGTGAAATTAAAACCGCTTTCGTGATTTCTCATATTATCAGGTTTTTGGAAACTGTGAAAAATACGATGGGCGCTTAAAATTTTTTTGTTTTCTCACAGGGGATTTTTTTTTGGGCGCACTCCCTTTTAATGTCTGTGTGCAAATTTTCTTTATACTGCAATCTCGGGCCCCTCTGCGAAGTGGGGTTTATCATCTCCCCCTTCCCAATAACTGACCAGGGTTTTTTTTCTGTCTTGGGACTGCTCCCACTGCCCCTGCTACAAAACATATATACCCTTAATCTAAACAAAACCCTGACCACCACTAAAATGCTTTTTTAAATTTTTGTCGAAACACATCCCCCGACTAACAGACTTCTCACATGAAATTTGGGGTAACTGGGGTTTAAAAGGCCATGGGAACTAGGGTTTGTTTTAAGGGAGGTTTGCATTTTAACCATTTTAACCACCAAACTGAAAAAAATTAACCCCCCTTAAATAGGGTTTTAAAGTTGAACTCTCAGAAAATTTATACTTTGGAAAAACTTTCCCCCACCTCTCAGTGTATATGTTTTGTCATTTTCTCACAATGACTCCTCCACTGGTTTCTACATCTGGTTTAAACCTTTGGGGCATTTGTTTGAAATGTTCCTCCAAAAGTGTTGTCTGTATTTTTTCCCTGTTCCTCTTTAAAACCTGTCCTTTTTAACAATAAACAGGCCCCGGGGGGGAAAAACACCCTATAAAAGTTTTCAGACTTTTACCAGGGGCTTCTTTCCCAAAACCAAAGATGCTTCCGGGAAAAAGTTCCTTAGAAAATTTTTTTTTAATACTCACATTTAGTTTTTCCGTGTTTGTTGGGTTCACCTGTTCTGTGTGTTTTGGTCTCTCTCCCAAATTCCCTCAAATCAGTTATAAACCTTCCACCACGCCCTCACCCAGTTCTTAGGACATCCCCTTTCGTACCTTTTTCCCTCTACCCCCAAAACCCTCTTTAACCCAAATCCAATAACCCTTCCCTTCTACCCCTCAGTGGCACCATTAGCCATGGGGACTACGAAAACTGGCTATTTTAGCTGCGAGGATAGCGGGAAGGGTAGGTGGCTAGCTGGATGGTCCGCTTAAGTAACTGGGCTCGTCCCTCAAGGGTAAAAAACCCTTTCCCCAGGAGTCTATACCCCAGCCCCCTGTATAAGTTAAACCAGGATTGAAGGGGGACCCAGGTGGGATTTAAAAACCCTTCCTGGTTTGTTTTAAAAAAAAAAGGGCACAAAACGTTTGCTCTGTTGTTCATGGCTGCTTCTAGGCCATGAGCTGTTGTTTTTCCGGGTTGAATTTACTGTCTTATACTTTTGTTTCCCGGACGTTTTACTATTTTTTTACTGTCTTTTTGCTATTGTTTTTCGTTGTCATTGTAGTTTTACTGTTTTGGTTTTTGGAAATCGCTTTAAAACCTTCGGGGCATTCAACGCTGGTTTGACTGGTAGATTGCATAAACTCACACAAAACCCACACACAAAACACACACCACACAAAACACCAACACACACACACACACACACAAACACAGCAGGAGCTATGAATCAGCCCCTGCAACCCCAATTAGGGGAGTACACTAAAAGCTTATACCAGCAGACGAGGCAGTCAAAAAGTCAGAGAAAATCAAAAGGGCATGCAAGACTGGCGGTTTGAGAAAGGGAAAGGAGTTTGAGCAAATTGGGCAGTGTGTTTTTCGGGTCCCAACCATAGCTCCTGGTCCTGCCCAAATTTTAAACCCGTTGTATAGGAAATTTTGATTATTGATCTTTCCAACCTTTCCTTTTTTTGAAGGGTGTGTATGGAATTTGCCTGGGTCACTTCTTGATCCACTTAAATCCGGGGAAGGGGAAAACCCGCTTTGGGAAATTTTTAGTAGTAGTAGTGTAGCAGAAAGGGGGGGTAGTAGTAGTAGTAGTAGTTTGTAAATATAGTAGTGGTAGTACTCTAGTAGTATAATTAGCTTGGTAGTGGCAATTTGGGAGTAGAGAAATGGGGTATTTGTTTTTTGTAGTTGTATTAAACCCTAATAGTAGTGTTTCAGAGCCTGGAAGGGGAACCGGGGGGAAGATGACAGGTTTTTTATCCAAGGAAAGAAGTGGATAGTTCCAAAACCTTCAACAGCATCACGTAAAGAAATCTCCCGGGTCAACCCGCAAAAACAAACATCAAAATGAGAAAACCCGTAGAACCGCCCCCCTTTTTCTCAAGTCACTAGACTAAGGAGCGCAGGGCAGGAGCCATTTTATTTGAAATTTTTTTTAATTTTTATTATTAAATGATAATGATTATGATTACTTTGTAAACGGGTGGACAAATCTTACCTTAGTTTTATGTACGATTTATACACGTGTATGATTATCAGTTATAGATATACACTTGTGTATATCAAAGTATTCTTGGCTGGTGGTATACAGGTGAGGTGCAGCCTTAATGACCCTCGTGTAGTAGATAGGCTTTAAACTCCCATTAATCAGATAGTTTAAGCGCTAAACCCACATTAGTTATTTTTTTCACTTACCCAGATTTTAGAAACAAATAAAAGTCTATTTTGCTAACCTGTTTTATTGTGCATTTGTGAAGCATTTTAGAAGACGAGGATGACACCTGTGGATGGCACCTGGTGGATGGCACCTGGTGGATGACACCTGGTGGATGACACCTGGTGGATGACACCTGGTGGATTGACACCTGGTGGATGGCACCTGGTGGATGACACCTGGTGGATGGCACCTGGTGGATGGCACCTGGTGGAATGACACCTGGGATGGCACCTGGTGGATGACACCTGGTGGATGGCACCTGGTGGATGGCACCTGGTGGATGACACCTGGTGGATGACACCTGGTGGATGGCACCTGGTGGATGGCACCTGGTGGATGAACACCTGGTGGATGACACCTGGTGGATGGCACCTGGTGGATGACACCTGGTGGATGACACCTGGTGGATGACACCTGGTGGATGGCACTGGTGGATGGCACCTGGTGGATGACACCTGGTGGATGACACCTGGTGGATGGTACTATAAATCCGTTCAAATCCTCTGACAGATCACCCTTTCACATTTACGTAAATTTGCCCTGTTACCTATTTCTCTTTCCTAGCAATGTTTACTAAAACCACCTCTTTCCTAGCACTCTTTTCTATCATCAATATCTCACTAGCATTATTTTCTCAACACTATTTTCTTACATGTTCTGCTTCCTAGATCCTCCGTTTCCTTGCACTCCTCTGTTGCCTGTCGTCTCCCTGCTTCCTATCTACCGTTTCCTAGCGTTTTGTTTACAAGCTTCCTATTTCCTACCTTCCTGTTTACTAGCTTTCTGTTTACTAGCCTCCCGTTTTCTAACTTCCTGTTTCCGCAATGGCTCGACACACACAACAAAATTCAACAGTGGGTCGACATTCAAGATCTTTCCACAGTGGGGCAACCATCAGAACTTTTCACTCCACAGTGGGTTAACAATCTGAACCTTTCTTTCCACAGTGGGGAAAGAGTATTTTTTTTTCTCATAGGAAGTTTAAGACACTTGTAGAGATCAAAGTAACAACTCCTATTTGAGAGAACTTTCTGTTAACTGTCACGCCTCAGTCTTCACGATAGCCTTAGCAGACAGCCTGGGTGGGAAGGCGATAGTCCCAAACAAGCCTCTATGTGCGCTGTCAAGTCCTTTGATTCTGTGTTTTTACACTGTCGAATGAGGTGAACACAACCTTCAAGAAAATTATTTTCTACTGTCACGGTGAATCTACAGAGAATTCGCAAGAGCAAAAGAACACGTCCCTCGCTGACCTCGTCAGCGGGTGAATGAGAAAATTTAAGGAGCCATACCAGCATAAAAAAATCTCCCGATTTTTACTAACGGGAAACTGAGCGGAGGTTGCCACCATCTTTTTTCTTTTTACAAATCAAAATTTAATACCATTTTTAACCCAATTTTTAACTTAAAAAATTTACTTCTAATTTTCAAAATTTTTCAAAACTTTAAGGCGCATAAATCTCAAAAATTTTTGTCAATAATGTTTTAAATCGCCTGAAAATTATATCGAGTTTACTAATTAAAAACTTTTCATGGAGTGTTGACATTTTATTTTTTACCAATTATATCATTATTATCATCTTCAGTCGTTTCAAAAACCTCTATTTTATTTGATCATATAACATGTTTAAAACCTCAAAAACACCCAAAATCTCTTATTACAATCGTTCAATGTCAAAACTCGATGAAATTTATGCAAAACAACAACTAACTGACAACTCCGGTCAAGTTTTTGCCGTCTTGCTCTTCTTTTTTTTTTTATCTTCGTAGGAGGAAATCTTTGTCTCACCTAGTGGGGTTAAAGGGGTCGATTCACAGCCCCTTTGCAAAAGTTTTCGAAAAATGTGACCGGGTGTAATAGCGCACAAATGCGTGATAAAGAAAAAAGGGGGAAAGCTGGTAGAGGGATCTACAATTCCATAAATAAAACACAAAGATAAAGTAAACAGAGTAAAGTCTGAGGCAGCCATGGTGAAAAAACTGTTCCAAAAGGGCACAGTACCGCTCCCATTCTTTTCCTCACCTCATTTCTGACATAAAAAATAAGCCATAGTTCCGTGTTTCCTTTGCAGAGACCCCGGATTCCCATGACATGACCTCCATCGAAGAACTGCGAGACTCCAACGGACAAAACCCAAATTTTCAAATGGGCCACTAAAAACAATATGAAGTTCAACGAGGAAAATTTCAAACTCAGATAGGAAAAACTTGAAAAAAAAAAAAATGTGTCAGGGTATCCCAAAATTTCAAACCTACAATAAGTGGAAAAGAAATGTGAAGGACCTGGGAGTTTTAAATGTCAGAGACTCGCCTTCAAAGCCCAAACAATTATCTACCTCACTGCTGGGAAAAAATGAAAGATGGATAAGGGAAACCTTGGGGGAGGGCGCCAAGCCAATAATTCTTTTAAAATCGCTTGTGCTATCTAGGCTGGAATAGCGTACACTAAGGGGCCCCCTTAAAGGGCGGCCATGCAAACCTAAAGAGTGTAAAAAGAACTTTCAGGGGTACACATAAGTACGAAAAGGGCCCCAAAAACTACGGGGAAGGGTTAAAGGGCCTTGATCTGTTTTCCCCTTTGAGCGCGGCGGAGAGTTACATATAAAACACTTAGAAGGTCTTGGGGGGTTTGGGCCCAAAATCTGCCACAAAATCCTCCTATGAAGCAAAAGACTCGGCAGGAGATCAACATCCCCCGATAAAACAGAGGCGCCACGAGTACACTAGAACAACACAATAAGTGCCCGGGGCCCAAGACGTTCAACGCCCCCCCACATAAAAGGGGGGATCACCAAAGACCCCGACTTCCAAGAAAGGCGCTGGAAAAGCCCAAAAGTCAGTACCTACCAACCGGGCTTGGTTCGTACTCAGTTTTGCGTGCGGCCACAAAAAACCCGGGTTGATAAACCCCCTGACCCACCATGAGGCCTGGTCTCAGACCGGGCCGGGGGGGCGCTGCCCCCCAAAACCCCCCCCGGTAAACTTCAGGAGTTTTGGGGTTAAACGGGTTTCTTTGCAGTGAAAAGTCCCCTCCCAGTACATTATAAAACGCTATAATAATCATTTTATTTTTTTCATCATTTCCCCTCCCCCCCCCCCCCCCCCAAAAGGAAAACGTTTTTTTTTTGGGTACAGTATTAAATTTTTTTTTTGGGTACATTTTTAATGCCCCTTTTCTTACTTTACTAAGTATTTCTTTTGAGTAAATGTGATATCAATGACAGCAAGAGACAATATACGGTGAAAAATTAGACCAAACACAAATATCCCTCACATAGGAAGAGAAGCTTACAGACGTTTGGGCCGATTGGGACATTTACAAACGACTTGTAAATGGTCCAAGTAACCCAAACTTCGGGTAACCCCTTTTCTATGTGGGGGTTATTTTGTATCGTCCAGCAGGGTATTGTGCCTTTTGTTTTTTGGTACCAAGTGTTCATTGTCCCAAATTGCTCCTGAGAGTCTAACAAGTGTGTCGCCTCGTCTGGGGAAAAGACTTTATTGCTGAAAAGGCCCTAAATTTAAATGATTTTTGATTTAATAATAAAAGTGGTGACACCCTTTGGGTGGGTGCATTTGGTGAAGTATACTAGCATGGGGATGGAAGTGATCACCCAGGTACTCTGGGGCACTGCTTGGTGCCTAACCTAGATGTGAGACCTGCGGGTGTGACCAAAAATATTAGTGTTAAAATGCTGGGTTGCACTGAACTTGCACATTGTCTTACGCTGAATTCTTAAAAGTTTTTCCCATAAAAACGCTAGCTTTCCGTAGGGGGGCTTAAAACCCTGTTTCCTTGAAGGGCCTTTAAATGTGGGGCTGTCTTGGAGGTCCCCCTTTGGGGACGCAGGTGTTTTCTTGGAGGTCACTTAAGAAACGGTGTTGATCCCCGTTACAGGGACAGGTTTGCCCTCCATAACGAGCCAGCGACCCCCTCTACCATTGACCTGCCTCTCAGTGCCCACATGTGTGCAACACCAAATCTGTAAAAACAAAAAATTCTCAAAATTTATTTCCAATAATAATTTTTTAAAAAAAAATTTTTTATAATGTCATTGAGGAAGTATACGATACCTAAATTACAAAAAGATTTTAACCATAAAAAAAATTTTTAAGCCAGAACTTACCTTAAAAGCCAGGTCCTTTCCCAATGTGTCTTTTAACCCGGGGGTACAATCGACCTGAAAGTGAACACCTGACACAGCCAAGTCATTTTGTTCCCTCCAGAGGAGTTGATCCCCTGGATCAGGGCGTCAGAGTCGTCCATGGGGGTGGGAGACGACCTTTTATGCCTGTATTTATCGTCTGCTTGTCAAGAACGGGGTTTAAGGGGGCTAAGGTGTCTATCATGTCAGTGTCGAAGTTCTAGGGGGCTGCAGCTTTGGTGGTCGATGGAAGCCATAACCTTTAAGACCCAAAAGAGACAAAGAGCCGCTGCCCCGAGGCTGCCCAAAACCAGGTATGGGGGCCTGTAACACCCAATTTAGCGGTTCCATAGGGGTTTTGGGCGCCAAACCCACAAAAACCCCGTCATCCACCATGCCTGCCCTATTGGGATTGTAGCCCCGTTTTTCCATAGAGTTGCGTGCCAAAAAACCACCTCCCGGGGTTCTTTAGACTTAAGGGGGATTTGATATTAGTCCAGTCCCCTTGGCCCAGGGAAAGCTTAAAGCAAGGGAGTCCTTGTAGTCCTTTAGGGCCTCCTCTGTGAAAATACCGTCTGGAACCCCCCACATGGGTAGTGAACTCGCGAAAGCTCTTTTTGCTAGGTCCTTTCAACCTCTTTTAAGAAAGAAGTTCCTCCTTCCTGAAACCCGTAGGCACTAGGTTCACCAGCATTGGTTTCAGTTTAGGATTTCAGCTCGGTCAGCCCCGGGGCCACCTCTTGCTAAGGATGGGAGGAAGTTCCTCCTTTTCCAAATTGACCTATTCTTGATCAGATCAAAGGGAGCTTCCCTCAGGGCCTGCCTCTGTATTCTCGACTTGTAGTGTTAGTACGAACCATTTATTGATTGTTGCCAACTTTTCTCTAAGGGCCCTTTTAAAAGCGAAGCAAAAGGGGACGTTTCTGGCCATCGACATAGCCTGACGGCTCAACTGACGTCGGTAAACCATAAGGCCCGAGGGCATCGAGGTAGAGCCACCAAGGGCCCGAGGACATCGAGATGAACGTCAAACCCTAATTAAAATGTCTTCAACCAGTGCTTCTTCTTCCTGTTCTTTAGCCCTTTTTTCTCAAGACTCCTCCCCGTCCAAGGTCAAACAGACCTCCAGGACGCTAACCCCCCGGCCCCCCGCAGGATTGAACCCGAGGAGCCATTGAACGTCTACGCCGCCTCCACAACTGGTCACCCACCAAAACCCGAAGCAAAACTTTTGGTTTTCCGCCTTTAAAGCCCTCCTCGCCCCGGGGGATTACCCCGCCCCCGGGGGGTTGGAGATCTGGGCCTCGCTT